AAATAACAAAATTTTCATAAGTATTTTTATGTCACCGTATGAATTAACCGCCTACAATAATATAAAAAATAGTATAAATTACAGGCATAATCATAGTTACAAACTAATGTAAAAAAATTAAATGTGAAATATGTATAAATAAAATTTTAATTTAATTAAGAGCAATGCAAAAATAATGTTTTAATGTCATGCAAGAACAACATTTGTAAATATTACTTACAACTATTATTAAGAAACCTATACAACATATAACGATTGTATTACATAATAATTGCATCAAAGCAATATACGAGAATAATTTTTCGATATATTCCGAATTAAGGATAATCCGGTAATGATGATCAGTTAAAGATTTAATGACATTTCGTAATGATCCATGTTTTTCGTCTTTGATAGAAATATTTTCTAGAGCTTCGTGTAACATTTCTATTTGTCCGCCAATATGAAGTATCTAAGTAATATTTAGCATAATATAATACGCGTATAGCATTTCACCGAAGTTGGGCAACATAACTTTGTAAAAAAACGTACTACGTCCTAGCACCTAAATATTCCCCATTTGGAGGTGCGTAAATATGTTCAAAAACTTTTTTATACTCGTCTATGTTCAATGATATCTTATTTTTAGAGTCATGTAATTTTTCACTCAATTATTTGTTATTTTTTCAAAATATTACTTACTATCTTATATCGAATTATAAAAGACGAATCGAGAGCGTAGAAAAAAATTCAGGAAAAGATAAGATTTTTGTCTATGGCTTAATTTTCAAGACAGCCTGTTTTGACAATTTCGAATGTTTACCCATATATACACTTAATTGCGTATCGACTTCATGAATCTTACAATTACTATACACTTTTACCATTTTTCATAGTGATTTCTCGTAATAGAATTAGAATAATTGTTAAAATTATTAAATTATTAGATACGTGGTACACTATATGTTAAATATGTACACCTTAACAGAAAGTTGTATTTAGGATTAAACGCCAACTGAAAACTCTTGTAAAGCGCATAGTAGGCATTATTTTTTTAACTGGTTATAATATCTTTTATTTTGAACTAATAGCACAGTGTGTACAAAAGTTATTCAAAGGGTAGCTTTATTTTTCGACTAGACGATTTTTTATTAGATTCTACATTTCATTTCCATAGTATCAAATTTTTGTAATTATGTGAAAGTACTACCAAATAATATGAAATTTATCATAGTCGGATCTAATTAACTACTATAGTATACAATAATATATAAATATACTATAATATATAAATGCAATAATAATCGCAATGATGCACAAATACTTTTTGTATCCACTGTCTGTGTGCAGTTTGTTGATAAAATGTGAAATAAATGTATTTTTGCTTACTACGTTAAAACATACTGACCAATGTAATTATCAAAGCATCTAACATAGCAATGCTAATTCCAGTAGCTAATAGTTGAAGAAATTGTAAAACAAATACATATTCATACATCGGACTTTCATAATATGCAAACGGAAGGTCCATTTTTATTAACAATTGTCGAGATGTTATATTAAATCCGTCATCTTGATCCTGACGACTGAATTCCAGGAACATACCGCCGTATATAAAAACGGCACTAGCGTATACGCTAATAATTAAGTTTGAGCAACGGTATGCAAGTTCAGCTTTGTTTACCATGACATGTACGTCAAGTTTGGCAGTAGAAGTGTCGATCCAATCGCGAGACATTCCTATCAATATGTTTTTAAATATTCTGAAAAATATTATTATACATGTAGCACATAAATTGGTAAGAACAAATTTTAAAAGCAATTTTCCACTTAATTTCTCTTTAAGCTCATCTCCAGCGTGTTCAAACTTATCGTTAACTTGAGAATGCCGATTTTTACGCGTTTATAGGAAATTTGAAAGTGCAAATATACATAGAATATGCATAATGTGAAAGTATATAAAATATCCAAAGTATAGCGCTTTCTATAAAACTTAGTAGGTAAAAGAATTCTTTTTTTCAAGTTTCTACCTTTTTAGATATACTGTCAAAAATATGAGTTGGCATAAAAACCCGCAGCCTGCTTATTATGTTTGACATAGTAAACCGCAAATATGTAAGAAAGGAATTAACATTTACCCGCGTTTAATCCAGAAGCTAATTATTTTAAAGAACAGTAGACTATACGGCAAAGTAGTGCTCACACTGTCTACTATGTCTGCCAAGTTTCCAGAACTAATATGCTTTATTATATACCGATACTGAAATACTTGCGCAGACATCATGTTAGCTACCCAAATGCATCGGACGATAATTTCATAAGATGAACCTGGCCAAATTCCAATCAATCGTAGGCCAATTACTACTGGGCGACTGATACTTCTACTAAGTATCATTTTAAACGAACTGACCGATAAGTTTGCTTTTAGAAATTATTAATGTTTGTTATTCAGTCCTTCTTATTTCTGCATGGTAAGATGAAAAGTATTTGCGTTAAAACCGTTTGTGCATAGACGACTGAACACTGTATGCTGAAAATATTTGTGAGACGTCTCAGATGTTACTTCTTGCGCATTGGCCGTGTGTCCATAAAGTATTCATGGCAAACAAAGAATACAGATAAGTATAACCGAAGTTGCAACTTGTAGAGTTAGAAACCATAAATATATGATTAAAGGAAAAGAAAAAGTTTACCCAATTTTTGTTTCAATGTCCAGCATTTTCTGCTAAAACACAGAATATTGGAAATTTGTAGCAAGAAAATTCATTTCAAGTTTGTCTGAGGAATACGAAGGAACGGAAGATTTATAGAAAAAGGAATTCGATAAAGGAGAAAGAACGATAAAAAGGTAGAATTCTAACATTCAAATAAGAAAAAGAGAAAAATATATTCGTTTCAACAGTGATAGGCATATCAAACAATTTTATACAAAACGATCGCATTATAAGGAAAGGCTAAGTTTATTTTGAAGAATAGGTTCTTACCATAGGTTCTTAAATGTTCTTAATATGTTCAATTTACATATAAATACACTTATACTTTCGTGATATACATATTATTCTGATATATTTATAACATATTAGATATTTCATATATATCTCATACAACTGGGATAAGCTATAGGGTAAGTATACCTAAAATAGAAAAAGTAGAAAAAAGAAAGTGATTTCATTAGACAAAATTGAGCGGTTTCCAATGACGTATTATATAATCTAGTGTAGATGGCCAGTGGAAAAGTGGTGGCGTTTTTAATATTTGAAAATCCCTGTTATTTTTCTAAATGGAACCATAGATTTTGTCATACGTCGATCGAATAATTTTTTTAATACTATACGTGGTAAAATTACAGCTCTTGTGGTATAAATAAGACTAAATGGACGAAATCTTGCACCAAATAACAATATCATAAAGTTAATGTTTACTTAGTATTCTTTATTCGATGCACAATTATCAACACCTGAGCAATGTTTGTTTATATTTATAAAATACTTTAAATAAAACGACATATTCTATCAGTAGGACACAAGAATGGATAGGGACGCAATATAATCTTTATGTTTTACAAAAAAGTTGAAAATACAAATACAAGTTACAATCTTCTCCTTAACGACACTCTATTATTTTACTTCCTAGAATTTCTAACATTTTAACACTACGACTATCGACAACTAATATATAAGACTTGTATTAAAGAAATTTAAGAGCATGCAATAGAAAAAACTAAGGAATATTAGCTTTTTTATTCATATTTTTATAGAAAAAATCTTTCTAAAAATCCACAGTTTTAAATCTATAAAATTTTTATGAAAAATTTTGAATTGGTGATTTTGATACTATTTAATTGACTTATTATTTTATCAAACTATGTGCAATAGCGGTTATTCAGTCGCGGCATATCTGAAAACTTGTTATTGCAGTTATCCGGGGAATTACCAAAAATTACCGCTTTCCTCCTTACCGCCAAAAATTACCAAATCTTCCTCGCTTATGAATAATGTGCGAACTTAACACAGAAATATTGAATATGAATGACAAACAAATGAAGTTTATTTAGTATACTTTCCATTGAAAAATTTTATAACAAATGACTGTTGAAAATACGGAGCCACAACTGATTAAGCAAAAATCGCTGGAGTTAAAAGTAAAAGTCCTTACGTATTAGTTCTAGTACACCGAACCCTCACTATCATATTTTAATAATCCATGATTAAAAATGTAACAATTCTAAATTCCAATCAAACACTTCTTAAAAACGCAGTACAATAAAACACTGTATAAATTAATTTGTACATACATTACAAAATACATTTTACAATCTGTAAACAAAATAGATCTTCCCACTTAATTGAGCTGTTTCAATTTTGTTTTAGTGTCATTTAACCATTTGGCCATTAAATATGTGGGCTGATATGATTGTTGTATGTTACTTATAAATGTTACGAACCACTCGGCGTTCATTTTACATTTTTTCAGTGTACGCCTGTGAACAATTTTAATTTGCAGATTAAACCTTTTTCATTCATTTTTCGATTCGTTCGATTCAATTCATTTCTTTTTTTTTTCTTTTTTTTCATAAAGAAACATATCAATTAAAAAAATGGTATTGTTATTTTCTATACATATCTAGCGTATCTGACTTAAATGCATAACGTTACTTTATTTTTTAGTTATGTTTAGTTTAGTCTTTTAGTTATGACGCGATATGCAGCAAGAATTTATCTTTTATCAGGTAGTATGTGATTCACCTAAAAGTCGGTAGCTTCTGCATGTTAGTGATAACATGTTTTAAGTTTAGAATTGAAAACGGACGACGGAGTGCCATTTATTTTTTGGAAGATTTATGGTAGAATTTTTAACTCTTTATAATCTTTGATGATAGCTCTGTTTTTGACGTTCTCCGTGTTCATGTTAATTTAACATGTAATAACAATAATATATAAACAATATAGAAATAAAGCAAATATAGTATGCAAGTTATAGGAAACTTTAATATTAAGTTATATTGTATCAAGATATTTCATAATAAAATATCAACTAAAAGTTAAATAAAAAGAAATTTACTTTTACAAACCTTGATAAAAATCCTGTAATGAACATTGCCCAACTTTCAATGCTAGCAGGATAAGTAAATAGAAGCTTTTGCATAGATCTAATACTTGCTGGTCCCATATTTAGCATGAAACAGCTATAGGATAAAGCACATGCAACATGTGCATGGTTTTCAGTAATAATATTTCTATTAAGAAACAATACTTTTTGTGCGCATCTACTAAACAGTTGTAAGTCAGTATCTAATAATATCCTGAGTAATATAGTCCAATATTTTACATTACCTGCAGGGAAAAGGAAAATAATATACCATACATTTATATAAAATAATATGTATGAAATACATAATAAGAGTGTTTTAAATATATTTTAAACTCTGAATAAGAGACTAGAAAATATTTGTCAGGCCATATCAATTCTGATATATAGCAAAATTTTGTATTTGATTCATTGCATGGCTGATCCCAACAACTTTAGCCCGATTGCCTTAGATTGACTTTAACGAATTAAACTAGGGATTCAAGTGGCGCCCCGAGCATGTTCATATAAGATAAGCCTGGACAATAAATAAATTAACTTTTGCAGCAAGTTGAAAAAGCGCTTCCTCAAATTGACACCATATCGATTACTTGGCTTCGCTCTTTCATCTATGATTTCCAAACTTCGGGATCGGGTGGGATCTCGATATATGCACCCGTATTGCTCGGGATCCAGTGACTCGATTCGGGTATAAGCATAAACAGGTGGTCTAACTTCGAGTCGGATTGGCAAAAGTCGTATTACATCAACCCGAAATTTCGCCATTAAGAAGAGATTAAGAAGAAAGGCTGATAATAAGCCTTAAGTTAATTTAAGACCATAAAACACCTAGATTTTCCTACCACCTAGCATACGGCTTGTAACGGACAGTGTGCTTTTAGTTGTTTATGATCGTAATAGTGAAAATAAGTATAAGACGTCGCTAGTAAGTTGGCAGACAGAAGGAATGCGGGACCGATTGACTATTTCTGATAAACTCAACACAGTCATAAATTTCCCTTGCACCTGTGCTTTTCCGATTGCTAACTTACCAGCAACGCACAGTACATGTTACGCTGCTTGCTATTCTCATCTAAAGTTGCTATTCTCATCGACTTAAGTGGGTTACTCTTTACTTATTCTTAGCTAATTTCCTCTTTGAACAATACTTTATTATTTATAACAGAAAATATATTAAAATAGTACTTACCAGGACATCTAAAGATTTCTTTAGAAAGAATAGTAATGGCTCGTTGAACATCATTTCCCATCACATAATAATATGCATATAAGCTTAGAATATGATGACCATATTCAGGATTAGGTACAGAGAACTCCAATTCTTTTAGTACCAATGAAACTAAATTGATATCGCCATGTAATATTCCTAACGATGCGGCCGCTAAAAGACCTATTATAACTGGAGGGTGTATTTGTATGCATTGGAAAAGTAAAGTTTTTGCATCATTTACTCTGTGGAAAGAATATGCTATCGCAGCCATCGCACACAATGTAAATGATTTCTGTGCTTCAGTATTCGCGAAAGATTGCAGAGTTTTTTCATATGTATTATACGCCTCTTCATATAGCTTAGCTGAAAATTAAACAAATTTTAACTATAATATATCTCAAACAATGCGAATAAATATTTTCTAGTTGTTTAAATATTTCATTACTATCCAGTTCTATAATTAATTTCGAATCATCACTTAAAAACACAGATTAATATTACTATTGTTCCAGGTTAACCAAGGATTAAAAAGGCCTAAGGTACAGCATATACGCGTTGGACTTAAATTTATATCCGGTATAAAAACATCACTATTTAGTGACCATTTTAAACACTAGCTGAATCTTAACGTCCTAAGTTTACCATGCATTTATCAATCACTACATGACATCCGTAAACGTTTCGACATTAACAGAATACTACAATTTTTGTACTTAAAAAGATATATATGTAGTATCGTGGACAGATTGCCTAAAAAATATCGGGTGAACTATAAACAATGTTGTGAGAGAGCCAAAGTGCCGACAGGCCGAAAGGGTCGGGAAACTTGAATGGACCAAGCGGCCCATCAATGTGTCGTCGGTCCTTCAGTCAAATAGTTACGCGGAAGAAGGCGTACGTGATCATGATCGCGGACGATTACGGAACACACATGGTGAGGGCATGAGAAAAGACAAAGGGATGCTTAAGAGAGAAAGAACTAAGAGTCGAGTTGTAAGGAGTCGAGTTGTGAGAAGCCGAGAATTGAGTTGTGAGTTGTGAGTTGTGAGTTGTGAATTATCCATTTAGTTGTCTTAGTCATAGCGCATTACTGTATTTAGTTCACGTTAAATAACCATCGTTTCCTGTTTAATCCACTGTAAATAGATCCATCTATCAATAAACTTATCATATAGGATAGAAACCATTGGAAACCCTAATTTCTAATATTTCTGAATAAATAAATCCTACATATATAATATATAATATATAATATATAATATATAATATATAATATATAATATATAATATATAATATATATTATATATTAATATTGATCTAAAAATGTGATTACCTTTGAATAACGCTAACGCGAGATTGCATTGAGAATTATAGTTGATATTTTCAACTCCTTGACATAATTTTATTGCTTCGTTATATCTTTTCAGTCGTATTAGTACGCGTGCTAAATTTATAGAAACAAGGTCTTTTTCGTTTTTGGTACTATTACATACAGCTACGGCAAATTGTTCTGCAGCTGACTTATAAAGTCTCTGTCTTTCTAATAATAATCCATATGCATTTCGAGCGTGACAATCATTTGGATGATTCTCTGTAACGGATGATAAATATTACGATACGTATAGTACAATATACAAAATTTAAAATAACATTAATCAGTTACAATAAAATACAATAAAATTATGATTAATATAACTTAATGCATTATTAAAATTATAGATATTCATTTCACAAATATAAACAATATATAAAAAAATAATTGAAATTTATGGTATGTATAAAGACTTTCATAACTAACTGTAGCTTTTCCTATGCATAGTTTTATATCGACATTTTATGATATGTATTGTATGAAAAGTGATAAAAACTTACCTACATACCACGTCATAACATCAGCAGCAGAAGATATTGCATGCATACTTTGTGTTGTATCCATATATAAAATGTCATGTTTGGTAGTAGGATTTAAAATCATAACAA